ACAGATGTTTAAATAAATTATCTGCTTTCCGAAAGTCGCAAAATCAAATTGTCCATTGTAATCTACTTCGTAAGTGTGAGCCGCCTCGCTTCCACCAGTGCCTTTATCCTTTCCAAGTAGTGCCCAACCGGGTGCTGCTTCCACGGCAAATAACCGCTACACGTGTACCGGAATGACGTCATCGCATTCCCGACCCACGTCAGCCCCGCAACCGCTTTGCTGAGGGGCGTGTTGAACTGCTCGTCGGCGAGCGGGGCGCAGGTGATCGTTCCGTGAACCTGAAAAGAGAGAGCGGAATCGGAATGATGTCAGCCGCGCGGAGACGACATTCAAGCAGAGGCTGACGAGGGCGGTGTGGCATTTTTTTCAGGGAGCAGCGGTACAGATTGCGGGTGCCAAGCTGAACGAGGAAACGGCGATGATTGACCGGGACGGAATAAGATCCGAATGACACCATCAATCTTCGGAAAGTCGTTGTCGTCAGCGCGCGCCGAAAGGTGTGTGCTAAAAGGCGTCAAAACGAACCGCTGTATCAAAACAATCTGGTTGCAGGTGACCGGAATAGAAGGCAAGGAACCGGAATAAGGATATGCGGACCGACGCACTTATTTGGGAGCCGACACCACCGGCGCGCATTTTTCCGAGGCCGTGAAAGGACAAGCGGTAAATTTATCCAACAAGCAAACAGCTTTCCGTACGTTTAAAACTTGACGGACGTCACCTCTTTTCGCCGACAGCGTCCAAGACAGGGTCACAGTTTTCGCGGCGATTTGTCGAGCTCTTGTTACCTGGAATTATACAGGGAGTGGCGGGTCCCATGCCCACTATAAGAGACAGCGGACAGACGAAACATGAAACTGAAAAACCTGCAACCTATGCGAAATTCAAGGCCCTCGTGACGATAGACCCGTGTGCACTGTATCGAGGCCAATGCATGGACGAGATGTCAAGCTTAACTACGTGGTCTCCAGAAACGTTGCAAACGGCCGTTCCGTTCCTTCCCAATCCTTTCCGTTCCGGTGTTCCCATCCCTTTCCGTTCCTCTTCCGACCTTGCCGTTCTTCAAGAAATGGACCTTACAGTTCCTCAGATGAAATGAATAACGGAGACAGTATTCTCACCTCATCCAGCAGATAGTGCCCCAACACGTGCGCGTAGCCAGGGGGAATGGGCACTCCGGGCACCGGATCGTTCCGGTTGGCGAAGCGGAACACGCGGTTCCGGGCCATCACACGTGCGAACACGTCAGCGAATGCGTCATCCCCCACCCGGGGACTGCCGAAGCCGAAGAGAGTGACCGGAATGGAGGGGTGCTCGATGGCGGAAAGGAAAGCGGCGATCGTCGCGAGAGCGGCGCCGAGAGAGTGGCCTGGGAGAAAGGAGCACAAAATTTGTCAAAGTTAGGGAGTCAAATTGGTTCACAGGGACTCGGAAAGGGCAATTCTCGAGAAGCGACGAAAGTGAGTGAACGGTTAGGAGTTAGCTGACGTGTGATGTGCTGTTGCGGTTGAGCCTTTGGATAGGGAGTGAGCGAAAGCTCTGCACGGGAAGAGAAAATTTATCATTTATTGTGCAGTTGACCGTGAGAATGTTAAATAAAGCAAGGAGCAAAGGCCGTCTGGTGGTCGTCATCTACAGAGAAATCGATGTGGGGGGGAGCTGTACTCAGACGGACTTTGAGCAAAGCGGCTATCCTCTGCAATCCGGGCCATGCAAGAGAAATGTTTTGGTAAAGGAAGGGAATGGGGAGATAGTTGCATGGTACAGCTGTCGTTAGGTTTGAGCTTCTCTAGACGTTTTCCTTTCATCAGGAACTACTTGTCTCCAACCGGACGAGTAGACGCCTGTTTCAATCAATCTGCCTTTCAAAGTTCCTGGCATCATCATCCGTCGATTGCCTCTGAGAGTTGTACAAAGCCATTGAAGATCGAGACCTGCTTCGCCACCTGTACCTCGACGTGCTGAAGCTTCCACTGACACTTTAGCAACCAACGAGTCATTTATGCCGCAAAAACGAGTCATTTTGATTTGGGTGCTAACCCCAGCCGCGGAATATCCTGAATCGCGTGCGCACCTGCGATGACAATCTCTACCCCCCCCTCGGCGGGCTTCGACACCTCGTGGTTGATCTGGTCCTGCACCATGTCCGTCCACCGAGCCGGACCGGACGGAATTTCAACTGAATCCGCTGGCTTCGCTGCCTCCCTTGCTGCTGCCTGCAGGCGATACAGCGGCTGGTGAAAAAGGGATGTACTGATCAAGCTGCACAGGTCCTCAGGGGTTCCGATCTAAAACGTATTTCCGCCGGAAAAGGTAGGAAGGGGAAGCGGACTATGTGGCGCCCCGGCACATACTGAAACTGACTCGAGTCTGCTTCGCTCTTCGCTGGCGAAGATGATTCGAGTGAGCGACAGGTAACGAAAAGACAGATAGGCTATTACCCAAATAAAGGGAAATCAATCTATAACGTGAACGGGACCGAAATCTTTGGCAGCCCGGCAGAAGCTGTATCGATTTTGGTGTTTCGCCGAGTCCTCGGCAAAAAGGAGTCTATATGACAGAGCATGCCCCACAAAGGCTGCGCGAAACCTGGGTGAAGATCGGGCGGAATCAGGCGGAATGCTAGCGGTCGAATCTAGGCGGAATCCAAGCGGAAGCGGAGCTTTTGCCCACCCCACACTGTCAGCAACTTGCAGAAAGAATGACACAGGTGAGAGTGTGAAGAATAAAAGTGTGAACGACGTGTACAAGTGCTCTGACATCATTTTGCCGTTTTGAAGGTCCAAGTTTTGTCCTGCGTATAAAGCAAGGTGGTAACCTCGTCGAGACTGCACTTTCCGTTTCCAATAATGTCTCTCGATGCCCGATCTTTTGAAGGAAGAACAACAGAAGGACTTTCGAGGCATGGGGAACCGGAACGGTGAAGACTCAAAGAAGCCTTCCTCTACTTCTAAGCTTCTGGAGAGCGCAGTCGTAACGGTCGAAAATGGTCCCGGGAACGAGCGAGTCCTCCCGACAGCTGTGAAATTTGAAAATGACTTACAGTGAACGACAAGAAACAAGACTGGCAAAAAGCAGAAACTATACACCAGAATAGGCGTCTGGTCTTCCCTCCTACGTCCCTCTTTCCGTGACGGCGAAGACGCGCCTCCTTGCTTCTACGCTCCCGGTGAGAATCGTCTAGACCCCCTCAAAATCGGTCACGGAACCCCTATGGAAAATCAATCCTTGCACCGACCAAACCCGTTAGTCATCAATGTTGGAATCAAATGCCAAGACAAGAACAAATCTAATCATTGGTCTTAAAAGGGCAGAATCAATGGAGCCCGTTCCGCTGCTTCTACGATCCTGCTGAGGACCGTCAGGACCGCTAGGAACACGTCCCAGAACCGCTTGTGGAATCTGAAGCTCGACCTTCCGCTTTCTGGTTACTTCCTTCTACATCAACGTGAAACGAGAAGGATCAAAGGCAACAGAAACCAGAGGGCAAAAATAGAATCCAGGGAAAGAGTGTGTTCTTACTTCTACGTTTCTGGTGAGCGCCGTCGAAACGGCCAGAAACTGGTCCCGGAAACCCGCGTGAATCTTGACCTTCCGCGTTCCAATCTCTTCGTACGGATCCGGATCCCCCGGTCGCGCCTGAGGTCGTATTTCCACTTGGTCCGCTTTGAGATCCGCCCAGATGTCCTCGGAACCTTCCGTTCCGCGGAACACGACGTAGATGATGTTCCGCTGACCTCGAGGGCTGGGCCGGAAGAAGGTGTACGCCTATGAAAAGCAACGAACGGAATGAATCAGACCGGACAGAACAGAATAGACCGGAATCAGAAGACTCGCCACTTGGTCACGAATCAGGATCCGCCCAGATGTCCTCGGAACCGTCCTTTTCGCGGAATTCCACGTACATGTTGTTCCGCTGACCTCGAGGGTTTGTACGCCTGCAGGAAACAGAAACGGAATGATCAGACCGGAATGAACGGAATAGACCGGTTTCAGATGAGTCTTCACTTGGTCTGCTTTGAGACTTGCCCAAATGTGCTCGGAACCTTCCGTTCCGCAGAAAACGACGTAGATGAAAGTTCCGCTGACCCCGGGGTTTGGGCCGAAAGAAAGTGTACGCCTGTGAAGAGGGTGTGACACGAAAGATTCAACGCTGACGTAAACGGAACAGACCGGATTGGGGCGAACCTCCACACGCTTTGCCTTGAGATCCAACCAGATATCCTTTGAACTTTCTGCGCTGACCCCGGGAAGTGGGCCGAAAGAAAGTGTACGCCTGCGGGGTTTCCGTGAACGGAAATGAAGACTGGAACAAATAGAACGGAGCGGATCGAGGGTTACGTGAGGGCGAAGCAATAAGAGCTCTTGAAGTGCACGGAACACGACGTAGATAAGATTGCGCTGGGGGGCTGGGCCGAATGTAGATGTATGCCTGCGGGGGGAATGGAACGGATGAGCAAAGATTGGAACGAACAAAACGGGCCGGAATGAGTGCCGTAGGGGGCGGCTGAACGTTGAGCTTTGAATACACGGAGCAGCTCACAGACGATGGAGCAGGAAATGCTAAGTCGTGTGACTCCCAACTCTAATTCCAAAGGTTGAAAGATTGAAAAGCTGTAGTCGACGGGCGGATCAGCGGACAAGGACTTTGCGTGAAGATGAGAAGAAGACGAACGATCTCTTTCCTCGCTTTCTCAGCTTCACCTAAGGCTGAAACAGCCCATCTCAACACGTTCCAGATTGGAGACCGTCCAGCAACCAGAAGAGCGCCAGACACTTTTGATCGCTGCAAACAAGGAGCTTGCCCTTGTAAAAACCGCAACTTCTCGAATGTAGAATTCGACGTTCCTCGCATGTGAAAACCTGAAGTTTCCGGATATTATGGCTTGTGCCGCTCACCATAGTCGATTGCATGAAGAGGCTGTGCTTCCCGTCAAAATATTGAGAAGGCTCGTTGAATTGGGTCAGGATCTCCCCGTATCCCATCGCTTCGTTTCTCGTCTCCAGCTTAGTCAACTCCTCTGCGCTCAGATGAAGTTGGTCCGATGTTTTCCATCCTGCCTGCAAGATTACACATGGTGTTCCGTTGTCTTTCTTGTCAATACCGCTTAGCTTCTTTGAATTCGATAACCATGCACTTAGCTGCATCGTGTTCTCCGGGTTTGATGCCTACTATAAAAAGGTTTTACTTCATTCATTGTCCACCTTGGACCAACAATTCTGGAACAAGACCTTTAGATCAAACAAAAGCTGGAACCTTGGAACTCCCAAGCTGCGAATTTCGCGAGGACAAGTAACGTGTATTTCGAAAGTAAAATGACTTCGAGCAGGACGCCCAGACTCCCAATGCTGTGAAACCTGGATTTGTAGGAGCAACCTGGGCTACAGATGGGAGAGCTCACGCTTTACCTCGCAATGCGCTGCAAAATGGAAAACTGCAAACACGACTCGCAGAGAATGAACGAATAGAAACCCGGCATATGGCACCTAAATTGAAGACATCGCCTCAACATTCAACAAACGTAAAGCTGGATCCGTGCTCTTTGATAACCTGGAGGTCCAACATCTTCCCAAAAAACTGACCCTTGCTGACTTTAGGACGGGCCTCCCTTCACAGTCTAGCTGCTAAAGGTCTCTCCTTTTATACGTAACCGACAATTAAACCACGAACGACTAGAAGCAAGTCCAAGAACATGCAAGCTCGTAAAGAATCCACTCATGCACTTCCAACAAATCCTCTTAAACAACCCTTCCCATCTCAACCTTGACAGTCCAGAAAGGTCACCCTCCAACGAGAGATGTTCCGCGTACCTGACTCTTGATAACCTGAAGCGCTTCCCTCTGACTCTTATTGTTGGCCCGCAACCGGAGGTACTCTACTTGGATGGGCGTTCGATAAGCCAGGGACGAAAGCCGCGCTGCCACCAGTGCTAGTTCTAGAGTCTCAAAATCCAGCTCCATAGCTTCTCCTAGAACCCTGATCCTAGGAAAATCAGTTCACTAGCAACTTTCGAAGATAGATTCAAATCCACTAGGACCCTCGAGTCCTGAGACCCCTGAAACCTTGAGCTGCTTACACTCTATTCCAGAAAGAAAACTTTTAGCCCTCCAGCTATGGTGGGAGATGATCTCCTTTCTCTAAAATCTGCGTTTATTATCCAACGCGCAGCACCGGCTCAATCCGTTGAACTTTTATGACTTGAAAACTGAGCAACTGAAGGAGCAGATCCTGCAATCGCAGGGCATGCATCGCCAGACCCCCGACGCCTTATATGCTGGCACCATGACCTCTTTAGCTAGTTCAATCCCTTATCGCGCTGATTTGTTTCTTTAGATCGCTGGCCCCTTGACTAAGACCGCGTCCTCAACCTCCTCCCCCCCTTCAGAAGGTGCGGCTGCAAACAGAAAGAAGGGCACGTGACAACCAGAACTGAAGGGCCTTGCTTGTAGAGAAACTGTTCCCTTACAGATTCCCTCTTTTCCAAAATGCAAAGTGAATTCCTGCAGATAAGGTTTGTTGCAAGCAATGTGCCTCATGAGCATCCCTTTCTGATATTTAAGTGATGCCGTGAAAAGATACTCTCCACCTTTATAAACGAGGAGAATGAGCGGCGCGCGGTCCGCCGCGCGATTCACTTTGACAGCTGATCATCTCAACCAATGATCATTGACAGTCACTGATTGCATGAGTGAGCACATAAGATATTTGATTCACGCCGATCATCGGATGCCGGCCCAAAGGGCCGGCCCAGCGTGCACGCCGCGCCGCGCGGAGTGGCTCAAAGGTGCTGGCAGACGGTCTGTGCTTGGATGAGATGCAGATTCTCAGCTAGGATGCATGATTAATTAAACCTGTCCACTACAGACCTGAATTTGCAAGTGTGCAATCAAACAGCTGGCCAATGTCGGCTGATTAATCATAGTACTTGGTGTCAAACAATCATTAGGACTCCTAATCTTATGATTTGGTGAAGCTTCGTTGCAATCAGGTTTTACAATACCGGCCTTAGTATCTTTTCGTATACGGTGTTCTAAACCGTAAGCCGACTCCCTCCATGACTTACGTTGCCAAACGATCAACGCCCACATGTTCGTTTCAGAGCGTCCCTTGCCGAGAAGGCCCCGCCCACGCTACTCGCTTTGATTCACCGTACTCTTAAGTGACGTATCATACCAATTTGTGTTTTTATTGACCTTGCTCAGCTCTCCCCTTGATGCTGGCAGGTAGTGTAACACATGGCTGAGGGCATTGTGATTCTTATCCCACTGACTTCCTATCCTCTGAAGCAATGCAGGATCAAATGGATTGACTGTCGTCCGCAAGCAGATGAAGGACTTTCTTTAAAGCTTGCAGGTGTCAAGAACGAATGCAAGCAGACACCAAACTTTGAAAGGCACCCCAATGGCATCAGGCTAGGTTCTGCCACAACGTATCACCAACGCTTTGAGTGCCTTCCTTTATCTATCAATGTACAAGGGTTCCTTCGAGTGCTCTCTTTTGGTCCAATGAATGTTGAAAAGCTGCATTGCAGCAGCAAGATGAAGGTGTAATCGTTTGTGTTCTCGTAGATCCTTTAAGTACCTGCCTACGTACTCTACTTTTCAGTTACTCGATATGCCTTCATCTATCAGAATGACAATAGGTCACATTGTGACACATTTACAGCTATGTCAAAGCATATACACAGATGCTTGGGCAGAGACTCACCATGTCCATTCAATTTCATCTCCCACCACTTATGCATGCCATCATCGGCCAGCAACGTTAGGCTGCAAGATAGCAAATGTCCAGCTGTGAAACCATACTTGTTAACCGGCTTCAACCTTCAGCACTGCACCCTATATGGAGTTTCAAAGCTAAGCTTGAAAGATACACCTTGCCTGCACAAAGAGACTTTCAGCTGTCAAGACGGGGTTAAGACGCGGTTGGATACGTAGCGGCTGAATCGTTGTAGCAGCGCCGTTGAGTATAAGGCCAGCTTCACAATCAAAAGCCAAATGGCAGTGAAGGAATATCTTGTGAAGTGCGTTTGGTAATCTTTGGTTGTCTTCAGAGCTCAGTAACACAGCGCGGGCAACAGAAGAAGGCTCGACACAAACCCAAGAAACACTTGAACAATAGCCAAACGGCTTCTCCGTGCTTCTAGATGATGCTTCGCCACTGCTGCTTTGGATGAGTGTTGCGCCCCAGCGGTGTTGAAAGCTTGAGGAATTTTTGCATTCTTATGGAAGGAGAGGAGCTTCGCTTCCTACCTTCTGCCAAAACTTGGCAAAAGGCTAAGGCTAGAGAAGTTAAACCGAACGGATGGTCAACACGATGAAACGTACCACTGACGTGAGTACGGGCTAGCAGAATTAATGCCAAAACTTGGCCGAGATACAGGTTTTGCGTCCACACTATTATTTCTATTTACGATTGTTTGCTCCGGGTAGTAACCGAGCTAGCTATCGCGGGACTCGTCGCAAACCAGAGGCGGGTGGCGCGGCGGCGCCCGGACCCCGGT